TATTTGATAAAGTTTATATGTTTTTAAAGACTGTATTTTTTAACACCGAAATTTTGAAAATGTCATGTTTTAAATACTATCATTCAATACATTAAATACAGTTGACCTATTGCTGATAAATTCTAAAAAACACACTTATTGCATATAGTATTAGTAAAATTAAAAAAGAAAACATTATTTTGTGCATTCGTCGACTTTGAAAAAGCGTTTGACACGATTTGGCGAGATGTAATGCTTTTGAATAATATGAATGGATGTATGTATAATGTTATTGTAAATATGTATCAAGGTACTAAGACATGTATGTATTTCATATAACAATTCCATGTCTGATTTTTTCCCATATAATAACGGGGTTAGACAAGGCGAAAATTTATCGCCTTTTTTTTTTCTCTATTTTTGAATGATCTTGATTCATTTTTCCAAACCTGTAATATAGAGGGCCTAAAATCAGTCTCAACAGAGCTTGAAGAAAAACTTGACATATTTTTAAAACTTTTTATTATTCTGTATGCTGATGATACTGTGTTGATGGCCGAATCCGCAACTGAACTCCAAAAACTATTAGATTGTTTTCTAGATTACTAATACACAGATGTATGGAGGCTAAAAGTAAATGTTGATAAAACAAATGTGTGGGAAACACAATCTTTTATGAATTGTAAATGGTTAGTTTCATTCATCAAGCTCAGACTTAAAGATCAGTTTGTACAAGTCTGGCATTCTTTGCTTGAAAACTCACCAAAAGCACTTAATTATAAGCTTTTTAAAGATTTTTTTGGAAAAGAAGATTATTTTGAAATTCTTGGGAACAAGCTGTCTATTGATTTTTGTAGATTTAGGACCACAAATCACAAGCTCCCTATTGAACAGGGTAGATGGAATAATATAGTTAGAAATAATAGATTGTGTCTTCTATGTAATAAAAATAACATTGGTGATGAATTTCATTACATATTAGAATGCAAATACTTTGAGAAACAGGAAACATTGTATGTCACATTATTATTTTAAAAATGCAAATACATGTACTGTTAAATACAAGCAGATTATGTCTTCAAAACACAAATCAGAACCGATAAAACTTTGTAAATTTATAAATATTATCAACACAGGTATATGTGCTCCTGGCTAAAATGTACTTCATATATTGTCTGAGCAATAGTTCTGTTTGTTCTGTCTTATTGTAAATATTGTACATAAATGTCTTCTCTATACCTATGTATATAGTCTATTGAGAATAAAGATAAAGTATAAGAAAAAAAGACCAATACCCAGAAAATTAATTTTGACAACTGAACCATGAAAATGAGGCCAAGGTTAGATGAAACCTGCAAGCTAGACATGTACACCTTACAATCATTCCATACACCAAATATAGTAGACATATTGCATACAGTATAAGAAAAACAGACCAAAACACAAAAACTTATCTATAACCACTGAACCATGAAAATGAGGTCAAGGTCACATGACACCTACCAGTTGGACATGTACACCTTACAGCCTCCCATATACCGAATATACTTGACCTATTGCTTATAGTATCTGAGATATAGACTTGACCACCAAAACTTAACCTTGTTCACTGATCCATGAAATGAGGTCGAGGTCAAGAGAAAACTGTCTGACGGACATGAGGACCTTGCAAGGTACGCAAATACAAAACATAGTTATCATGTTACTCATAATAAGAGAGAAATTATCATTACAAAAAATCTTAACTTTTTTTTCAAGTAGTCACTGAACCATGAAAATGAGGTAAAGAACAATGGACATGTGACAGACGGAAACTTCGTAACATGAGGCATCTATATACAAAGTCTGAAGCATCCAAGTCTTCCACCTTCTAAAATATAAGGCTTTTAAGAAGTTAGCTAACGCCCCCCTATGTCGAGCTTTCTACGACAAAGGTCACAGGCTCGACAAAAATCCAACTGATTGTCTAAAAAGATAAGTCCTTCCTTAAATATAATCAAAGAGACAGTTTTTTTATCACTAGATTGTGCTTTTATGTCTTGTGTTAAAATATGCTAGTTTTCGAGTCAAAAGATATTATTAGAATAAAATATTAGAGAAAAAGATTGAACAGAAACCATAAGAATATAAATCTTTCAAAATTTCTTTTTCGTGCATGAATTAAAATATTGTTTTGAACAGTCTTAAACAAACTTTTATTACTTTTTTCCTGTTATGTGAACATTTATTGGGGGCAGTTGTTATATATTAGCACTATAACAGGTAAAGCTTTGACAATCTTGTCACCTGTAATTACATTTACCTGTAAGAATAAAACGTTTTGGTTCAAGATTTAGAAACAGAACGAAGAGGTTTTCTCCTGTTTCTTAGCCACGGGTGTCATTCGGTTTATCGAGAGAAATGATAGTGAAAGAATATCTTACGGTGGTCAAGTATTGCGAGACGATCGTGAAAGCTCTGGTACCGGATCGTGAATGTAATTAAATGTAAATTCTACTTCAGAATGTGTGATAAAAATCGCTGAATTTTCAAAATGCGGAACAAATCCGAACAAAAAAATATGTCTGTCAAAATGATTCAACTTCCTTAACATTACTGTGCAATAAGAGAAAGAAAATATGCAGTACTTTATGAAAAAACACAATAGGCACAATGCATGTCTATGGGATTAATTAAAAAAACACGTTTTTTGTACCTATAATGGTCATATTTCAATATATCATTTTATTTGAAATTTAATCTTTGTTGTGTCCTAAAGTACAGTAAAATAAAAGTATGCTCTTCCCTTAAAATCATTCATTTGTTTATGAAAACCTTGAATTTTGTTGATTTTTTCATCAAACTTGATCGTGATAGATCAGGCAACGCATTATTTTGATCGTGAAAGATAATGCGTGACCAGACTTAATAATCAGAAATCAATATTTCTTTTACCATTTGATATACCTGCAACTGGTTGAAGCCTGTAACTTTTTTGATAAGAACGAACATGAAAGCTATCATTTGTTTTTTAAATTCAACACTTTACCTTTAAAGTTAAAAAATTTAACATTTGACAAAATGACATACAGATCTCTACAAAAATCCCATACACCAAATATAGGTGTTCCAATGCTTACAGTACCTTAGAAACTGACAAATGTAAAAGTTATGTTTGGCCAATTAATTCGGAACATGAGGTCGAAAGTATATGAACCGTGACCGACAGTCAGACACAGACATCTTACTATCATTCAATATATCAAATACAATTGACGTCATATATGAAACATGCAGACAGACATGTACACCATACACCAAATACTGTGGCCCTATAGCATACAGGTATGTAAGCTTTATAAATATAATGGGCATAAAAATGAGAATTCAAAGTTATAAATACAAAATAAAACATCTTAATGTATAAAAAAACAATACTTATGAAGGACGGACAAATGGACTGGTATTGATACAATTTACCAAGTCTGTGTGGTATTATAAGATATTAGATCCAATGGCATTGCACGATTATAGTCCTATTCACCAGCAAAAGAGACCCAGGTCAGTCATGCCAATCTAGTTTTTTTTAATACCAATAACAAATATTAATAATCATATAATTGAAGAATAATATGAACGTCTTATAGTAGATCAGATTAGATAATCTAAGATTAATTAATAAAAGTGGTTCAGGCGTGCCACAATGTTCCGTTGGAACTTTTCAACTAGTCACTTTGTTCCAGTGGAACTTTTAAACCAGAGGAAGAACAAAGTAACTAGTTAATAAGTTCCTCCGGAACTTTTCGGCTAGTTAGTTCTTTCCGCCCGGAACTTTCCAACGTCGGAACAAAAGAGTATTTACACTTACATCAATAGATATAAAATATTCACCAAAGTTTCATGAAAACTGCTCAAAGCATTTTTGAGTTATAGTCCGAAAACTGGAAAAATCCCCTTTTTTAATGAATAAAACCCCATAACTCGGAAACATAAAATCTAAATTCATAAAAATCAAAAGGAAGCTGCTCACATCAATAGACATAAACAATTCACCAAAGTTTCTTGCAAATTGGTGAAAGTGTTTTTGAGTTATTGTCTGAAAACTGAAAATCTCCGTTTTTTAATGAATAAAACCCCATAACTCAGAAACGTAAAATCTAAAATTTATAAAAATCGAAAGGGAGCTCATGTCAATAGATATAAAAAATTCACCAAAGTTTCATGCAAATTGGATAAAGTGTTTTTTGAGTTATTGTCCGACAAGTAGACGATGGACTGACAGACAGACCGATGGACAGATGAGACGGAAGGACGAGACGGACAGACAGACAATGGTATACCATAATGAGTCCCGTAAACGGGCGTATAAAAATGAGGAGATGTGGTATGATTGCCAATGAGACAACTATCCACCAGATTAAAATGAATTGGTAGTAAGCAATAATAATTTTTTCCGTTGACAAACGTATCCTATAGCTTCATTTCTACACAGACAACATACAACTTAAAACAGAATAACGTCTGAAGGATGTTTTTCTTCTCCAATTACTCTGTCTTCCTCCAGCAATAGAAAAACTGCTTCGCCGAGCGCACTGGATACAACCGCAGAGGTCCAACCCTGAACAGTTGAGGCAAAAATGGACACAATATTCAAGTTTGATACAGGTCTGAATTTGGATTGTAATTAAATATTTGACATATTATAGGTTTCTGACACAGAATAAATGTAGTCAAAGAACTTGAAATTGGTTATATGATTTGAATTTATATTCAATTGAAGAATTTCTTGCTGTTGTGCAATACACTGCTTGGGACCATCACCCCCAAAAACAATCCCAACCTTCCTTTTGTGGTATTGAACCTTTTGACTAAATTTCATAGAGATCCATACAAATGTCTTCCGACGACGACACAGACGACACCGACATGATAGCATTATATGAACGCAAATTTTTTGCGGTCGTATAAAAACTTACCACCATGATATAGCCAATGTTGCTGAAAGTGGCATTAAACACCAACAATCAATCAGTATAACTTACCTCAATATCTGCAGTACGTGTCTTACTTCTACAAGAAGAATCAGTCGCAAATGATTTCATGGCATCCAATATTGGTCTGTAACCTTGAAAAGAAAGTTTATCATGATTTTTTTCTTGAACAATGGCAAAGAGTTAAAACCTACCAAAGTTATTTTTGTTTTTCCAGATTACAGGAGGATTAAAGTTATGGTCAAAGATTGGTATTTTTTAATAAGTATCAACAAGAAATAGTTTGAATAGCCAGAAAGCACTGTTTCTTAATTTTACATAAAAACTTACACATACTGTATACCAACTTGTTTTCACAAATACTTTATTTCATGAATATTTTATTTGGCATTTAGCCATTTCTTGCCTTCTTAAAGACAATATATTTTCACAATTTTGCAATTTGTTTTATGTTTATATATAACATGTATATGGGGAGATCTAAGTTTGACATATTCGCATTATTTCTATACTTGCAAAAGTAACCATAATATATTGCTCAGGAAAATTGGTTCATATAACTTAATATAAAACAAGGAGGGTAATTTCCCTTTGTAAAAATGAAATTCTACTACAATTATCTGATTTTGTTTACATTTTTTTCAGAATTGTTTCCATATTAAATAAATTGTAGATACCCTCTGGGACTAGCAATCCACCAGCAGTAGTTTTGAGCACATGTCACATTCACCTACCTGTACATCTAAACATCATCAAATGCATAAGAGCACATGTCACCACTACCTACCTGTACATCTACATATAACATCATCAAATGTATAAGCGCACATGTCACCACTACCTACCTGTACATCTACATATAACATCATCAAATGTATCAGAGCACATGTCACACCTGCATACCTGTACATCTACATATAACATCATCAAATGTATAAGAGCACATGTCACACCTACATACCTGTACATCTACATATAACATCATCAAATGTATAAGAGCACATGTCACCACTGCCTACCTGTACATCTACATATAACATCATCAAATGTATCAGAGCACATGTCACACCTGCATACCTGTACATCTACATATAACATCATCAAATGTATAAGAGCACATGTCACACCTACATACCTGTACATCTACATATAACATCATCAAATGTATAAGAGCACATGTCACCACTGCCTACCTGTACATCTACATATAACATCATCAAATGAATAAGACCGCATGTCACCACTACCTACCTGTACATCTACATATTACATCATCAAATGTATAACAGCACATGTCATCACTACATACCTGTACTTCTACAAATAACATCATTAAATGTATAAGAGCACATGTCACCACTACATACCTGTACATCTACATATCACATCATCAAAAGCATCTTCTACCTCCTTCATTGACACAGATCCTTTGTTAAAATCAAGTAAACTGAAAAGCACAAATTTGTTTTTATCATACAATAAAAGATTTAATTTAAAACTGGTGAACAAGACTCATAGGAATGCAGGTATTATTCATTTTAGATTGACATGTTTAGGTGTCATCAGGATATCAATATACTATGAGAATTTTTCTTCTTCAAGTTACAAATTGGGGTACCTCATTTAATAACATACATGAGGTCAAAATGCAAAATGGTTTCCATAAGATAGTAAATATTTCAGTGATGTTGAAAATATTTTGTTCTTTGAAATTTCTGGATCTCAAAGCATATATTATAGTTCAAAACTTTTCTTATTTGATTTTTATAAAAGTAATCTATTTATTTAAATAGTTACCATATATTAATCTATTTTTTATAACTTTTAAAGAGGTAAATCATATAGATAAATTCTTTACTTCATTCTAAATTTTCTGCTAAATTTTTATTGCATGCTTATGTGAGATTCTATTTTTTTGTATTACAGGTTTTTATATCTTGGATTGTTTTTATGTTATGTATATGTTTTTATATTTGGTCAAAAGCTCCTTAGAGCTTGTGTTGTATATTTGACTTATGCCAAATTAAAATAAATTTTTCTTATCTTTTCTTATAGTGTATGTAAAATAAAACAATTTATTGTAATAGGTTTGTTAAGATATTGGCTGTGTACAGTTTAAGTTTATATCATTTTTTTCAAAACTAGACAACACTTTTTTGGCTATTCCATACCATATTGACTGGCAATCCCTTTGCCAGAAATAATCCTTCCAATATTGTCATGAATGGTGTGAGGTGTTTGACCGTAGCAATATGTTCATGACAATGTGTCTAAACTAAACATCATGTTGGGAAGGATTTATATCTTTTGCATCAAACTTCTTTTTGGTTTCCAGCATCAAGATTGAAGTAGCACCTTTGGCCAAGGGGACCAGTCAAAATGATATGGAATTGCCAGATAAGTGTTATCCAATTTTCAAAGCATGGCTCTACAAAAATGCTTGTCATATTGTCTGGTACCAAATGACAATTTGGTCAGAAAAGTAAATGACAATGTACACTTGTCTTATGGAAGAAGTGAAATTAATTCTGACAAATCTTATAATAATGTAATTGAAATGTTTCAATATATATGTACATCTCTTATAAGATCTATAAGTTAATTGAATTTCGTTTTCTAATTGAAATATACTACACCCTGTGAATCAACTATTCAATATATTGGCACCAGTATTCAATTAGTTATTATTATTGAACTGTTCAAGAAATATTTTAAAATATCCTATAAATTTTTCAAACTGTCTCCCCTAATTTCACTTCCTATGAACAATAATTTGGCCCCAAAACTTCATTTTAAAAAAATCTAAGCAATCCCGTCTTTTTTATTCAAAATAACCTTTTTCTTAAATCAAGGGAAATTGGAATAGCAATCCAATCAATTGCATGAAAATATGCATCATTTTACACAATTTTCATTTTCCTTGAACTGACAGCTTTTAAAATGAATAGGGTTTGTGTTGCTCAGTCTTTAGATTTCTATATTATGTTTTGTGTACTGTTGTTTGTCTGTTTGTCTGTTTGTCTTATTCATTTTTAGCCAAGGCGTTGTCAGTTTATTTTTGATTTATGAGTTTGAATGTCCCTTTAGTATCTTTTGCCTCTCTTAAAATATTTTTTTGTCATTAAGTAGCTTGTTATAACAGATGTAATTCACCTCTGAAAATTGAAAATTAACAATCTGAATCATAATTTAAACAATGATAATGTAATAATTTGAATTACTTCAGTTGAAAACAATGAAAAATGATAAAATATATTAAAAGGGGAGAAAACAATGATTATAAGGTAATAATATTGTACTTACGCATGCATATTCATGACCTGAGCAGGACTACAATATCCACACTGAGAACCATTATATTTGGCCAGTCGTTTTGGTATGACATCATTTACACCTTCTATAGTAGTAATTTCCAACCCATCACACATAAATAATGGACACAGACACTGGACAAAAAGAAACAGGTTAAGATTAGTCATAAATTACTGAATCACATATATATATTAATTGCAATCAAAGACATATTTCTTTTGTTATCCGATCTATATATTTTTAAAACCTAATTAATAAATCCCATCTGCTCATTTTGTAGTCCAACATGGCTCAGACAGTCTTTTTTCAGGATTTGGTTGTTGTCAGATGTCAGAGCAATAGATGTATTTACACTTCACTTCAGTCTTGTATTCAAATCTGTTTGCCATTCCTTAAAGTCACACAAGTTTAAAAATTTGACATCATAATTTAAAAGAGATTGTTGCATGACGGCAAAAGGTTATTCAGAGCAAATTCAGTGAAATATACAAAAAGTGCAAATATCTCAGACTAGGCACTTAATTGCTGTTACAAATAAATTTTAAATTTTGAAAATGTAATGTGTTTGTCCTTTGCTAGCCCTATCAAGCAACTAATTACACTACTCTTCATAAAATTATTGAAAATATTGGGTTAACTCCCCTTTTTTTTCACTTACGAGCTTCTTTGTTTGATTAGGTGATTTTTTTTGTGTTCACATATTTAAGAAAATCAATAATATGAAAAATATTGATTCTTTATATTGCATTTTACAGGAACTTGTTATCATATTGACATAAAGATAAGAATTATGACCAAACATTTTTCATAATTGAAACTAGTCAATCTTTACATTAAAGATATATCAGTCCTTACGGAATTGATTGGATAACTTTTCATGCTATCCGATATAGGTTCATATAACTTGGCCTCCACCATACAAATACCACATCCTCCCTCATGACACATCACTTTTGTACCAACAGAAATCCTCTCTTTTCTTATATAGGTGTTTAGTGAAGTAAATGGTGGGTATTCATTTCCAACTACAATAAAAGAAAATAATTTACAAGTTTCATATCATGATCTTTACAGCAAAGTGATTAAATTTATGTGTTTTACTTGTTTTTCCTATTGTCTGAGTTACCTTACCAGTAGCAGTGTGCTTATTTTGATATCTTTAATTATTCATAAGAGGAATCTGACAAATTTACTCATTACGATATACTTTCCAGGTTTTAACTCAAGTTAAATTTCTGCCCCAGCCACATCAGTTTTTCAAAATTAGTACATTCTGTGGAATAATGACCTCAATTATCACGCTGTTCACTTGAAGATAGTTTTCACTAGCAAGAGTTTAAATCCCATACTCTTTCATCTAAGAATTCTTTATAAATACCTGTGTATTTCTGTCCATTTATGGTTACAGATATTTCTGAATTAATAGTAGACTTCACACGAAACTTGAAAAAATATCCACAACATTCACAGTTGCCTGCAAAAACTCCATCTTTTGTCTTATCTTTTCCACAAAGATGCCTATTTCAAAATACAAAATATTAGCCATTATTTTCACTGTATCATTTCAAACAGATCCATACATTGTATATATATATATTGAGTAAAAAAGTCATAAATGTTAATTGGTCTTTTTTATATAAAAATCTCATCTCTACTGCATGATTATCAAATTGAAAATTCTTTTTTATTATTAATATTTACATAAGTGTTTTTTTTTTTTCATTGTTTAAAGAGAAACAACAAGGGATATAATTACCCTGTAAATTTACAAGAGAGAGTTCATTATAATGTACCGGGCCATGCATACAAAAGATGTAAAACTTTTCTAGAAGTTAAGTGTTAATTTGACTTAATTTATGACATACAAAAAAAATTAAATATTAATACCATTAACAATGAAAAAAAATTAATTAATTATACATAAGTAATTCCTAGACCTACATTTTTGTATAAACTAACAAAATCGGTACTTGTACCCAAAAGAAACTACAAAAAATATCTACCAAAATAGGAGAAAAAGAAATATGGCATATACATGATATATATGTACAATTGCACTGTCAAGTTTCATATGCTTGTATAATAAATTTGAAGTTATTAGGTTTGACAAGGGATCTAAGCTGCACTTGTGGCGAGCATGATACCGCACAATGAAACTAGGTCTGTTTATATACCCACTAACCTGGTAGTCCGAAGTGGGTTTGTCTACTTCTTGGTTGAGTGGACACAGTGCAGGCAAAAGAGCGCTTGAAAAACAGATCTAAGGAGAACATGTTATGATGGCGAAGGGTCCCAATATCTGCGACACCACCATAGTGATATACATAAATTTAAAAAGTTTATGACTAAACAAAACAACAAACATGTACAGGAAAAAAAATGTATCTAGAAAACCAGTCTTTTTTTCTTCTAATTCTTGACAGTTGGAGTCACTTAGAATGATAGTTTCCATTATCTAAATCATTGTAATAAATTAATTTGCTCTTCATGGTCCCTTCAATTGGGAAAAAAATATCTTATCTTATCTTATCTTATCTTATCTTATCTTAATCTGCTTGCCTTGAAGTACACACTGGACATACAATATAATTATCAAGTTCTGAAGAAATTTGTGCATCCATTGTTGGTGATTACATAAAAATTATCTTTTTTCAACAATCCATACTGGTTGTCATTTCACTAAGAAGGCTAAAAGACATATTAAACTTCGGCTCACATTGCAAGGGAAGGGAGCTAAATATAGTCGATCGTATCACGTGTTCTTTTTACTTTTAGGTGTCATGTGATGTTTTGAAGACGCTTCCATTATTAATTTAAGGAGGAAAACATACATTTTATTTATTCACATATTTAAATAAATGTTCACTCTCAAAGAATTTTATGGTTTGAGAAGAGAGAAATGAGAAGATTTAGAACAGGAGTATAATAAATCAGTTTTTAAATAAACAAATAGATTGTCAGTTTAAATTACAAAACTTCTCTCCTATATATTAGACTTACCCATTCGTCGGAAGTAAACAGTATTCAAAATGGCAGACGACGATGAGGAACAAAATCGTGGAAATGTGACTAACAACGAAATGAAACAGAGCAGTTCACTGCAAAAAATGCTCGATTCAATAACGAAAGAACGATCAAAGCCAAGTTTTTCCATTAGTGGTGGTAAATGAGTCCTCATTCAATTAAACCGGCGACCCAAGTATCCAAGAAACACCCACGCGTTTTAACACACAAAAAATAAAGCTTTCATGTCGATCCGTCCCACGTCGATCCGGCCCAACGTCGATCCGGCCCATATTTAAAGTCGATCCGGCCCAATAAAAAAATATATTTATAAGGAATAAAACTAAAGATATATATTAATTGTAAATCATAAATGTTTATGAATTTTATTATAATGTAAAAGGTGTACGGTAAAAAAAAAATTGGCCTTTGACAAATATTTTCTTCAGATGAGTTTAAAACAACTATGTTGATTATGTTTTCATTACAAGTTTTCAAGATTAATGGATATATATTATATTTGTATACGTACTGCGTATGATAGTTACTGTATATGTTATTGTAGAGCTGCAAGTGTGACCCCTTTTATATTATGTAAGTGACAGTGTAATTGTTAGTGTAAATGATTTAAGAGTTATATATATTTATGTGAGTGTCAGAGATAGTGTGTTTGTTAGTGTGTATGAATTTATTGTTATATTATAGTAATGCTGATATTATATTTTAGAGAGTGAAAATGTGCATTCAGTGTAATTATTTTGTTATTATCTTGCAATAAAGAATAATGGATACTCATATAACTTGTTTTTTTATCTACACACAACTATTCAAAATATTGTCAACTTTAAAAAAATATATTGACTATATTCGATATTACAAAAAAAACAACATGTATTATAGAAGCCTCTGATGTTACCTTAAAAAAAATACTTATAGAATAACTAATCGAAGAATTCAAATAGAGAAAAATATTCAACGAGTGACCGAACAACACATTAATTCATGAATGCGCGTAGCGCATGAGTTAATTATCAATGTTGTTCGGTCACGAGTTGAATATTTTTCGATATTTGAATTCTTTGATTAGTTATTCTTTTTATTACATTGAAATTAATGTAGAAAATGTAAGGAACTATATCTTTTTTCTACGCATTCATAATTTGTTTTGATCCGACGTTATCGACGTCTTGACAACGCCTATTGTTGTATGAAGTCAGAGAGTGAAATAACCACGTTTATTTCACATGTGAAATTATCGGTTTTTATTTGACTGGGAAATCAATATAATTCATTGCTACCAATGTAATAAAATTAATTATTATAACACATAACACCAAACAAAAGATCAAACTATAAAGACCTTGTTGATTACGTAACTTTAATCAATCAGGATTTGATTGAATTAAGTGATTACGAGTGGCATTACCTTAGTTCACATTCATTAGACAATTGTTGAATAAACAAACCAATTATAGACTAATGATTTGATTAAACAAGTCATTATGATGAGTTAAATTTTATAGGTTCCATTGGACTGTAAATATTTATTTAGCTATTCTGTGTGTGAATTAAATAAAATAAAAATCGCCATGACATTCGAAGTTATCATGGAAAATAACTTCATATTTAAATATGTTGAAGCTGCTATACAAACAGACACAATCACACTCATTTTCGTATCAATGTAAAATAATTCTTTGACTGGTACTCCAATACTTCACTAACCTGTTTTCATCCATCAACGATACTTTTTACAAATTCCATTTATACTGTTAAAAGAGGTAGGGCCAATTTCCCCTGAAATTTTTTCACAGAAGGGCCAATTTCAAAAAGTGCTGAAAGAAAAAAAATTACATTAAAAACAAGAAATAAAAATGGTTAATTTAACCTCCGAAAAAGGATGAAAGTCAATTATGCGGAATTTACCGTGTTTTTTTTGGTTGGATAAACAGGGAATCCCCCTAGAAGGACACTTCAAACCAAAACAAAGTTATGTTTTTTGTTGTTGTTGTAATTTATACAACTTTTCTCCTCAAAAATGAAATTGGTTTAGTGTGTCCTTTAAAATACCTAAAAAACAACTATTTTAATAAAAAGTGGAACATCACTAAATTTTACCTATATAGCTGCTTAATATCAATTATGTTTTCAAGAGTCGCCGTGGCTCCATCGATAGAGCTTAAAACTGTAAATAATGGATTTTTTTTTAAGATGGGGTACAAATCTCACGCTAATTTTTCTCATTTTTTATGTTGAAATATCAAAATGTTATGTTTCTATCACATTTCGGATGTTTGTTTAATTCAAAGAGTCACACTGAAGTAGGTGCTTGTACATAACCAATAACACGAGAATTGATTATATAGCAATGAAGCCCAAATGTTGTGTGTGTTATACACATAACGAAAAAAGGCCATAGCAGAAAAATTTCAAAACAACAAAAATATTTTTTCAAAATATTGAACAATAAAATTGAGAATGGAAATGGGGAATGTGTCAAAGATACAACAACCCGACCATAGAACAGACAACAGCAGAAGGTCACCAACAGGTCTTCAATGCAGCGAGAAATTCCCGCACCCGGAGGCGTCCTTCAGCTGGCCCCTAAAAAAATATATATACTAGTTCAGTGATAATGAACGCCTACTAAACTCCAAATTGTACACAAGAAACTAAAATTAAAAATAATACAATACTAACAAAGGCTGACTTGGGACAGGCGCAAAAATGCGGCGGGGTTAAACATGTTTATGAGATCTCAACCCTCCCCCTATACCTCTAGCCAATGTAGAAAAGTAAACGCATAACAATACGCACATTAAAATTCAGTTCAAGAGAAGTCTGATGTCAGAAGATGTAACCAAAGAACATTTTAGAAAATGATATGATATGTAACAAATGCAGACAGTAATTTTATCGCCAATCCACCAACTGTGTATAGATACTAGTACTTGCATTGTTACATTGTACCACCGTCCCTACACCGGAACCTAAGTCATCAGAAAATGAAACAACACCACAGAAAAAATCAATTACACTACCAATCGTGACTGTAGGTAAAACATCAAGAAAGTGTTGAATCTGTATCACAACATAGGGTCGATCCATTTGGTACAATGCCATGCAGAAAAGACCAGATTACATGTGTTTGTTACGCAAGCCGTTCTAGTACTAACTGGTGTAAGCTGTTGTCCGGTTCATATAGACGGTAAACCTAAAAAGCTGGAACAGTGTATAGATATAGATACATCCAAATTGAGGAAAACAACATCCCAATTAAATGTGTCCGATATTTTTTGGCTTCTTGGCATTAAAACAGAGACCGATCTTGAATCAGATTAGCTGATTTATATCAGATACTTAGATTATTAAATGTTTCTTGTATTTATATTTAACCCCCTTTTTTTAGGCGCCACTTAGGGGCATTCAGTTTTTCGGTCTGTGCGTCCGTTCGTTAGTTTGTCCGTCCGTCCGTCCATCCCTTCGTTAGTCTGTCTGTTCGTTCGTCCGTCTATCCCGTTTCAGGTTAAAGTTTTTGGTCAATGTAGTTTTTGATGAAGTGGAAGTCCAACCAACTTAAAACTTAGTACACATAATCCCTATGATATGATCTTTCTCATTTAATGCTAAATTACAGTTTTTATCCCAATTTCATGGTTCACTGAACATAGAAAATGATAGTACGAGTGGGGCATCCGTGTACTATGGACGCATTCTTGTTTAATATTTTGTTAGTTTTAAGTTAAACAAAGCTGTGAAATACATGTACGCTACAAATCACCTACCAACATTAACACGCTTACTGAAGCACCATGTTTTTTTTTAATACAAAACTAATTTTGAATATCTATCAGTTGATAATTCATATTTTAATGCTCCTCAGGGGAATTTACAAACAAAATCAATATTGGTTTTGATAAACAAAAAAAAATCAATAGTCTTGGCCTTGATTATTGTAGGACTACCTGTTCAAGGTATGAAAATAGATGATGTGACATGTTTTCATATACTATAATTAGTATCTATCGGGCAATATAAAAACATGATTTACCTAGCTAATCAAATGAAAAAAACTCACGGGAAAATGGCCATACCTCTTTGTCACAAAATCCTCCAAAGTCAATATAGTTTATTCATATTTTATTATGGGGCTGGATCGACATAGAGACGGATCGACGTGGGCCGGATCGACTTGGCACGGATCGACTTTGGGCCGGATCGACTTGGGGCCGGATCAGTTTGGGGACGGAACGACCGGATACCAAAATAAATATATTATACATACATGTATACAATTTGTTTCATAATTTGATTTATCATTAAGTCTGGGGGACTTCCGTTAACCTGTGCAGTATGTATAAAGATACAGCCATGTTGTAGGATTTAATAATGTCCCCCATGAAATGATGTCCATCAGACGTTATTTCAATTTTCATAGTAAAAACTGTCCATGGACAATATTTACTTATTTAAATGTGTCCCAGACACAATTTCCTATGAAAATATGTCCTTAGGTATGAAAAAGTGTTCATGCAGGAACACTGATGAACATGGACATTATTTAATACTATAATTCTGTAAAAAAATGTCCAGGTGGACATTTACCTGGACATTTTTTTACAGGACATTTTTTTTATATGATTATAGTATCAAATATGATATCCATTGCCTTGTTATTAGTAGACGTATTTTAACCTATAATAGCTTATTTTTAATATATTTTACTTTGACAGAGAGTTGTCTCATTGGCATTACCATCCATATCTTCTTATCTATATTTTTTTTAATATATATACCTGTACATATATATGTATAATGATTTAAATTTAAATAAGTACCCGGTAACAGATGCAGTTCAGTATTATTTTCCATGGAGGACACAATTTGATAACAGTTACTACGAAAAATTGTCCTGTTGGTGGACCATATTTCATAACTTTTGCTGTAAAATTCTGTCCACTTAGGGGAAAATATTTCATGGCCATGGACATTATTTAATACCAAAGTTCTATATTTTCTTTTGCCTTCTTCTGATAATATATATAGTAAAGTTCTTCACATTTGATTTTATACCTTACACACTTCCTTCTTATTGTTCTTCTTTCATTGTTATTAGCATTAGCTGGGTATTTCTTAGGACTTAAAACTTCCAACCAATA